ATTAATATTTATTAATTATAATGCAATATTTACTATAGTGTTACTATATAGTTTCTATGTATTACTATAGTTATTTTAGTTGTACTTAGGAAAACATCTGTAAAAAGGCTTCTGAATGCTAAATAACTATAGAGAGTTTTGTAGATGAACATATTGACTACACAATGATATTTGTTTTATTTTTAATTAATATATAAGTTATTGCATAATGGAATGTCAAGTATTGATAAAAATAGAAAAATACAGAATTGGTTTACCATTTATGCACAAATATTATTGGTGAAATGCATATAGAATTTCTTAATTTCTGCTGTATTTTGAACGTTCATATGGTCTAGGATGATGCTACAACACATGGTAGCTCTAAAACCAATCAATTATTAGACTAAAAGCTATAAAAAGAATAGCTTTTTGCCCTTCTAAAAGAACAGTTCTAAGAAGTTCTTAACAGTTCTTAATAATCCTTAATAGTTCTTAACAGTTTTTAAACAGCTTTTAATAGTTCTTGGACAGTTCTTAATAATCTTTAATAGTTCTTAGAAGTTCTTAAAAGCTCTTAATAGCTCTTAAATAACTTTTAATAGTTCTTAAACAATTCTTAATAACTCTTAATAGTTCTTAACAGTTCTTGAACAGCTCTTAATAGCTCTTAAGTAACTTTTAACAGTTTTTGAAAGTTCTGCTTTTATATATATATAAAGCTTCTTGTAATAATTATTTAACTAACAACTCTTTAATAAAATAACCTTTAATTCTTATTCTTTAAATATTATTTATAAAACTATTACTTATTTTGTTTTTTATTTTATTTCTCTTTATATTTTATCTTTATATCTCTATTTTTTTTCTTTATTTCTTATAATAATATAAAATAAAAGGCTAGTTTTCTTAATTAATTATTTGACAAATACTAGCTTTATATTATTTTTTTATTCTTCTTCTTTTTCTTATAATAAGATAAAGTGAAAAGCTAATTTTCTTAATTAGTTATTTTGATAAATACTAGCTTTATATTATTGAATATTTTATTTTTCTTTTTTGTAATAACATAAAATAATTATTGTATTTGTGAATAATACTTTTGCAGATACTAGCTTTATATTATTGGAATTTAAAAAGTTATATATAGCTTAGAACAGTCTGATTATCTGTTACTAATTATCTTTTCTAGTGTCTTAGAATATTTCTAAGTCTAGCACAGATAATTCTTATAAAGAATAAACTATTTGTTAAGCCTGGCCAATACAAAAAGAACAATAGGTCAAATTTTCTCTACAACTAGCCTATTGTAAAAATCTTTATAATATCTAGAAGGCTATTAAATTTAAATTTCATTTTTAAATATTTATTTCTTATTTTTAGTTATATTTATTTATTTTATTTTTCTTTAAATAAAAGATCTTTTACTTAGCATTCATGCATTTAAAATTATTACAGCTTGCTAGTTTTTAGTAAATTTTATTACAATAATAATATTAAGATTTTTCATTTATTTTTTTAGTATTTTTAGTTCTTGCTCTTTATATTTAAAGATAGTTCTTTCTTTTTAGTAATGTTTTCTATTTGCAATAACTTGAATCTTTATAGTTTCTACTAACTTTCTTACTTTTGTTATTTTTTTTCTTTTTGATATATTTTTTCTTTATTTATATTTGTATTGTATTTAAAAGAGTTTAAGTTAAAGCTTATTGATCTGAGTTTTTTTACTTATTTGTTGATTATTTCTTCTTTGAGCTAATCTATTTTTGTTATTTTTAAAACTTCTAATATTTAGCTATATAATAACATATTATGTAATATAATATGTTTCAGATCATAAATTACTAAATCTTTAGTAATATGTTTATATTATTTGAATTTGTTATTAGTATTTTAAGAACTTGATTTAATATTTTGCAATTTATATATTTATAGTTCCTGTTACTTATTTTTTTAACATATAATATAATATTTGAAATATAAATTTTATCTATTAGTTTATATTTTAGCAAATTAAATTAAATTCTTCTTTTTTAAACTATTCAAAAACTAAAATTATGATATTTCTTGTTATATTTGTTTATATTTTTTTAATATTATATTGTTATTTTTATAATGATATTTACTTCTTTTTTGATTAGAATATTTTCTGTTATGTTTATTTATATATTTTTAGTACTATGTTGCTATTTTTGTAATAATGCTTACTTTTATTTTAATTAGACACAAATTTTATTTGTTTATTATTGTTTGTTGTTATTATGTTTGTTATATGTTTTGTGTTTTATATTTTTAAAATAATGTCAATTATTTAAAATTTTCTATTTTCTTTGCTAAAAAAATTATTGTATTTTGTTAATATTTTACCAAAATTTCTTTAGCCTCTAATCTTAATATACTACTATATATGTATTTTCTTATAGTATAGCTTTTTTGTTAGTTATTTAAGAAGTGTTTGTTAGTCTATTCTTGTATTATTTTTGTAGTTTGTTTTTTCTTATTTTGAAATTAAGAATTAGTAAAAAAAGTTGTTTAATTTATATATTATTTTATTTTTAAAAATAAAGTAATTAAAAGATTTAAAATAAATTATTCAAATAAGATGCTTTATACAATAATTAGTAAAAAAGTTTTAAGTAAATTCTTTAAATAGATAATATAAAAATTATATATATAACTAGTTGTATTTTTATTTTATAATAATTTTATATATAAGTATCTTTGTTTTAAAATAGTATAATAAAATTTAAAGACCAAAAAAATTATTTTAATACTATAAAATAATAATAAATAAATAATACTTTAATATAATAAATAAATTTATTTAATATAATAATTAAATTACTATTTTTTAAACAATAGATTTAAAGTTTAAATTTTATTAGTAACAGAATTTTAAAAAATTAATCTTATTTTAATAATTTATTTGTAATCTAAAATTTGTAACTCAAAGTAAAGTAATTTAATAAAGTTAATAAGTTATTATGTTTTAAGAAACAGATTAAAAGTTTAAAATCTAAGATTAATTTGAATTTGATAAAATCAAATATTGAATCAATTTAAATATTTGAATTTAATTTGATTTGAAATTTTTTTTAAAATTTTAAAATATTGATTAATAAAGATAAAACTTAATTTATAAAAATATCTACTATGTTAATTAATCTTGAGCTCTTAAATAAAAATGTTTTTCTAAAATACTTTTAATTTAAATATTTTAAATTAATATACTATGATAATTAAAATAAATATATGAAAAACTGTTAGTTGCTTTATTATAAATTCAAAAAACACCGATCTAAATAATCTCTTTACACTACCAAACAATTAAAATCAAACAATTTTTACTCAATAAAGTTCTTTATATAACCAAGACAGTTTGAAAATATTCTAGTTTTAATAAAGTTTACATAAGAAAGACAAAAATCCTTCTTCACGCAACCAAGTCAATTTAAAAATACTCTCACTTTAACAAAGTTTCTTCATAAAAATTCTTCCTAAAAAGTACTTTCTGAAGCCAATTAAGTATTTGGCACAACTATATAATTAACACAATAGCAATATTATGACTAATAAAGTAGACGCATAATCCCGATAAAATCTTATGTAAAGTTATGGGCATATGAAAAGTTGAGTTACGTCACATAATATAGCTCGACATGGCATACTATATTGATATGTTACAACAATGCCGATACTGTAAATTAAAACCGAAAAGTTACGATGAGTCATAACTTACGTTCGGCTTATCCCGGTGCTTAAAGTTTCTACCCGCATCACTAGTTATGAGATAAAAAAATAAAACATAAATAGAAATCTTTTTAATCAAACTTTTTTCTAAGATCCAGGTCATGTCACATACAGACTGCTTCGTTGGTTCGGGAAACCAATATTGGCTTTGAGATTTGCCGGGCACATCGTGGTATGTACTTACAATATAGATATATATCTTTTTTTGACGTTGTACTATCATAACTCTTAATTATAAAAAGCATTTTAGACCAATTGCTGTATATAAATATCAATAAAGAAACCAAAACAGGGTCTCACTTTAAAAAAATATACTCTTAATATTGAGTAAAAATCAGTTTATGTGCCAAAAATTTTTGGTTCAGAATCGACAGATTTCTGTATTTCGTGTAACAATGCAAATTGTAAATAGTGCAAATCTTTACTACGTATGCTATTTTTTGTGGATCTGGTTATCCGTTGGGTACGAATTTAATATAATTTAATAGTAAAATCCGTCGGATATCCGTTAAATTTAATATAAAACGGACGACCGGATCCAAGCTCTAATTTTGTAAAAATGCTCGACTGGAAAATTTACATATAAACACATAATTTATATATTCCGATTCAAGACTTTTGATTCGGAAGAACTGATTTTCGCTCTGCATGGAGCACCCATCTTTTTGACAAAACCCAATTCAAAAAAATTTTTTAATATAACAATTATAAAAGCGGTTATTTACATTGATCTTGAAATTTGATTGGTTCTGCATAATTTTCATAAGTTGCTTTTTTGCGCTAAAAGATTAATAACAGAGATAACGATAACGATAGCTGATAAATATCGTAACACAACAGCGTGTATGTTTTATTTGGTTGATCAGAAAATGGACTTTATCATTATACGTATATTCATTAGGGTTACACAATATCGATATTAATTATATAAATACGCGAGTTTAAAATTTTCCTTTTTTTTGACGTCAATATGAGTCAAAAAAAAAAAGTCAATGTTATTGGTGCTGGAGTTATAGGTATTACTACTGCCCTAATTCTACAACGAAATGGATATCAAGTTCAAATTCTTGCGGAGTATTGGCCCGGGGATTCAGATATTAATTATACAAGTCCTTGGGCGGGTGCCGCTTGGAAACCGAACTTTTTTCTTAATAATGCAAAAAATGTGGATAGTAAGTAGAATGATGAAGTCGATGTGTCGACATATTTATTGTAAGACATTATACTCGATAAAATTTGCATTAAAATTTAAAAAAAATATCTAAAATAATACCAATATTTTATAGAATTCGAACGAATTTCATTTGAGACATTCTGGGCCTTGTTACAAACACCTGATACTGGTTTAATGAGCGCAACAATATACGATTATATGGATAAAAAACCTGAATCGGATCGAGATATTTGGTACAGAGATTTTGTTCCAAAGGTATAATGATTTTGATAGAATTAATTTGCCTTTTTTTTTTCATAAACTAAACTCAAATTATAAATTTCAAATTTAGTATCGCGTACTGCCTCCAAAAAAACTTCCGCCAGGTGTAGAATTTGGATTATCTTATACAACAAGTTAATAGTTTGAACGTTTTAGACCTGTTATATCCACTACTTTCCACGTCTGATATGCGATTCCATTATGAAACTTATTTATATTAATAGTCACTATACACGGACCTAAATATATACGCTGGCTTCTTAAACAATTTACGATTGCTGGCGGTAAAACTAAAAAGGTCCGTCTTTCTCATATCAATGAATCATTTGATGATGATGTTGATATTGTAGTGAATTGCACAGGAATTAACTCACGAAAATTTGGTGGTGTTCAAGACGATACTGTGTTTCCTACGAGAGGTCAAACTGTCGTTGTATGGGCACCACACATTAAAACATTATATTATCGGTCAGGTATGTTTTATGCTAAATGTTTCATATTAAACGTTTTTTTTAACACACGTACTTACATACTTTTAAAGACACCGATCATTCGTCATATGTCATCCCTCGAGAAGACGGAGAAGTGATTCTCGGAGGGACGTTTGATGAAAATAATTTGTAAAATTTCAATTCACAGACTATGGTTATTTTTAAATATATAATTGTATAAAATATAATGTAACTATTTTTTTTTTTTTTTACGATTAGAAACGAAAGACCTGATTCGAAAACTGCAGAATCAATTATTCATCGATGTGTAGAACTGTGTCCGGAATTAACATTAGGTGGTACTAATGCCTTGAAAATAATAAGTCATAATGTTGGTCGACAGCCGACTAGAATCGGTGGTATTAGACTTGAAATAGAGACAAGAAAAAATGCAAAAGGCAAAAATGTTATAATCTGCCATAATTATGGACATCATTCATATGGTAATTAATTTTATTATTCTCTTTAATTGTATTTTTTTGATAGAGTAATGGTATATGTTATGTCAATTACTTATGTACTTGACTTTTATGTTCAGGATATTCATCGAGTTGGGGCTCATGTTTAAAAGCTTTTGAGCTTATCGAAGCAGCAATAGCAAATGAGCGAAGAAATGAGAGGTGTACCAAGTTATAATTTATGTGTTGAATAAAGTAAAATTGGGTTTCCAAAATATAATAGATAATTTAGAAAAAGGATATTGAGTCTTTATATAAAATCTAAAGTTTACTATTTAATAATAAATTTATATATTGGATATTTAATAAAAACTAAATGTTTTAATATTAATCTTAAATTCATTATATATCATAAATACTATTCATGTTTATCTTGTGGTTATAAAAAAAATGATTATATTTTACATTTTCATTAAAGATATTTATCGTATTTGCGCGAAATAACGCCTCAGCGCGTTATTTCGAGACAATTTCCAGAGAGCCAAGGAACGAATACAAACACAAACAGTATTTTATTTTTAAAAATCAATCTAAATTGTGTATCACTAGGAATCGGAAACCGATATAAGTCCGGAGCATCAAAACAAATTGTTATATTAAATTTTCTTAATTTTTATTTAATTCATTGCGATTGTCTTATTCGTTGATTGGGTAATTTCGATAATCATTGCGAACCCTGATGTAAATAAAAAAGTTAATAAAATAGAAGTGATGATCATCAAATTTATTCTTTATACTTTGAATAAAGATATCTTGATAACATGAACCCATATTAACATGAAGTTTCGTGTTTAAAAATTCAGATCCGTGTGAAAGTGGAACGGGTTCAAAATATTCAGATCCAAATAAAAAGACCATGGTCTTCATAGGCAGAAGTTTGTCTTATAAATGAATATCAACCAATTAAATCACACCGAATTCGTATCAGGAGAAGCATTGAATATTGTTCATATGTCAAAAAAGTCGGGTACTAAGCAAGCAAGCTTAAATAAGATCTTATTAGATTTTATTTTTAAAGTTAACTTTCTAGCACTCTTTTGAAACTAGAAACGATGTTTGAGCGACTGTTTACTTGTGTGATATTACGTTCCTCTGAAAAGTATAAATTAGTTGCCCAGGCAATTAATTTACACGAGCCAATTAGACAAACTTCTGCCTATGAGAAGTGAGCAAGATATAAGACATCTCAAGAAAACATTAACCCAGTTATTAAGGGTGCACGAAAAAAGGGAAAGATTTCAATTTATCTAAAAATAATGCCGAAATAAACAAATTAAAGTTATAAATTTTAAGTATTTTATTAATACTTTATTCAGTATTAACGAATCTTTTAAATTCCTGAGATATCTAGATTGTCACATTGCTCACACGTTGCAAGGATCGAAAATACTCAGAGATTAAACCCGAACATTCTTCTTATTTTTATTCAAATTAAATAGTAATAAAAGTTTATTTAAATCTAATGTAATAAAGCAGTCTTGAATAAAATACATCTGGTTACTTCATTTTACAGTATGATTTAATATGGCCTAATAAACGATAGAAGTATAGCTACCGTCGAATTAATTTTCGACGGTATAAAAAACTACAAGCCGTAATAACTATTTCTTAACAGGTAATTCAATAATTATAACGGCAGTTATACGCAGTGTTTAAAATTTAGTGTTCTCATGGTTCTCAAAGAACATTCAATTTTTTAAGAACACTAATATATAAAAAAAAAAATCTCTTATTTGAGAACATTTTATTCTTTCGAAATGTTCTCAAAAAATTATTCGATATGATGAACTAATACGTATATCATTTGAGGCGAGGGTCAATCCGAACCTAACTCAAGTAAAATTGGTTGTGTTTTTGTATTTATAGCTTTGTATTACGTATATGCTTTATGATTATAAAAAACTAAAATTAAGTAATGCTACAATAATTTTAATTGACTCAAGTTGGTGTAAAAGGTCTTAGGGTTGGTTTTTTAATTTGGGTTATTAGAATTAACAACACTTTAGAAGCATTATAATAAACATTAAAATTTTTTTAACACTAATAATTTAAGCTCTTTTGAGAACATAGTTTTAAATTCGAATTTTAAACACTGGTTATACGTAGTAACACTAACTGCATCAAAAAGTAACTCTAACCCGAACCTAGCCTTAACATTTTTTCCCAAAATTGAAAAATTTTTTATATAAATTTAAATATCAAATGAAGCATATATACTTTATTTATGTATTTAAATAAAAATCGAATTCCGTGATGTTATTAAACATTGTCATATAAAAGGAATTTTGCACCTTGGCTATTAAATATATGCCAAACTCAAAAAAAATCAACCAAGAAGCACTAAAAGCAGACAGTAAAAGCAAAAACCTATATGCCGTCAATAATTTATGATGTTAAATCAGTAAACTATGAAATAATAAGAGCGAAACACTATCGACACCATTAATAATTAACAGTAATACTAATAAACATCAGCATACAACATGAAACGAAATGTCAAAATGAAATATCAACAACGGCAAATGTGACACTAAAACATAAGCAAGCTTTAGTAAAAATAAAAAAACCTCAATTTACTGTAAACAAAAAAAATTTAACCTATATTTTTTAGTCGTGTAACTAAAAAATCATCATAAGTTATAGTTATTTTCATTATTTATAAATTAATAATTGATGCAAGTTAGTTATTGAAACCGTTGTTCAATGTCCAGGCCACACCATGTGAAGGTTTGCATCTGTGACCCAAAAGGAGTTTTAAATTGGGAATATTGATTTAATTTATTTATTTTTTGAAATAATAAAATATAATACCAATAATGTACTATTATCAATAAAGTGATTCACATTTTTTGACCTTTGATAGTGAATTAATGATAAACAAAGAAAGATACTTTGTAAAAAAACTATTGCTACTAAAAGTGAAATGTGTTATCATCATTTTTTTAAATCATCAACTTACAATCCAAGAAACTAGACTATATTACAAAGCAAACTATATTAAAATCATTTTTTAGATTGATAAGTCTATAATTTATAAGGTTAGATTATTTTATATAAACTTTTTGATTTATATTTTATTATAAGATAACTTTACTAGTTTTTAAAAATTATAAATCAAAAACAGATTATAAAAAAAAAGAAATTTTATAATATGTATTTAGTGATTTTTTAAGAACTTTTTTAAAAAATTTTATATATAAAAAATAGTAAAAAAACTTAGAGCTTGTTTTAGACTACTAAGTTTAAAGTCTTATTTATGTTTAAAAAACAAGTATAAAAAAAATAGTCTTTGAGAAATAATTTGCAAAGTAAAAAAAAAAACTTAACAAAAAAGAAATTAAAAATATAATTACATAAAACAACTAATTAATAATTTACTTAAAGGTGTATAGTAATTTAGTAAAATAAATAAGTTGTTAACTTTTTAAATAACAAGTTATGAGTTCAAAATCCACCAATGATAAAAATTTAAATAATTATTTGTTTAATACATTGTATTGTAATAACAATATTTTATTAATTAATTAGAATAGGATATTTGTAACTATAATTATATTAGCATAACTAACAGGTTATAAGCATCTGTATAATTTTAATTATACATAAAAATACAAACTATTATCAGATAATATAAACCTAAGATAAATATTTGTTTTTAGATCTATAGTATCATTAAAGACCTATATTATCTTTTTACTTAGGTTTTTTCAAGTAGGTTTCAATTTTTCTTAGTTTTATAGATTTATATACTTATAAAAAACTAATGTTAAAAAATTAAGCAGATAAGAACCTTTAGGTAAAAAGAATTACTACCATAAAATGCTATATACAAAATCTGAATCTGTTATATTTTATCAAATTTGAAACCTATAATAAACCTATAAATCTATTGTACAGATATAGATCTGATGATCAGAGAGGTTTTTAATAGAAGATCTGATAATTGGTAAGGTTTTTATATAAGAGGTCTAATACTAAGTAGTATATGTAAAGGGTGTGGTGACTTAGTGAAGTGGATAAGTTGTCATACCTCCAAGTGGTAGGTTGTGAGTTCAAAACCCACCGATAACAAAATTTAGATAATCACCTATGTAATATATAGACAGTATTATGGCAACGGCATTCTGTCGATCAGTTGGGATAGGA